TTCGCCAGGGCATCCCCTTCTGGTCTTCTGCCGCCAAAGGCACAAAATGGCGGCTGGTGTTTTGCCGGGAACCTGCCCCCCCCCCCCCCCTAAGCTGATTGTTTAATACTTTCTTTATTCATGTTTCGTGTCTTTTGCTGATTTGTATTGTAAATCCATATGATTATTGAAAGATTTTTGTATACAATAAACATTTATAAGTTTATGTTTTGATTTCCTTTTTCTGTTGCATTCTGTTTGCATTACAATAAATGGTTCAATTAGAATTTGATACAGTAAAATGCATCTTATTTACATATGTGTAATAACATTGTTTTACTAACTATCTCTTCCATCGCGATCGTGTTTTTTCTTTCGACATTTTTCTTATTGGAAGAGATATTTGATTCAATCAAAGGAAATAATAAAATAATGAATATCATTTTAAAAGGTTAGTCAGAAAATTTCTCCAAGGGATATCTTACTAATGAAGGGAGATTTGTACCAACAGAAAAGTAATTTTGTTTCGTGAAGTCATTCCTACTCATACTTTTCGCCATATTATGTTCCTAAGGAGGGACTGAAATCGTACATACAGTCCGAATCGTTTGAAATCTCATACAAAAATCAGGCAATAAGATACCATGTGATCTGGGAATATGATCAGACGAAAAAACTTGTATAGGTACGATCTTGTATGCTCTGGCGTGTGATTTTTTGACCTGGATACCCAGGTGGATCAATCCCAGAGTCGGATCTGATAGGATCTGGTAAGAACCGATCGGATCCTATCAGATTTCATGAGAACCCACCAGATCCTGTCGGAATGTCCGGGAAATCCTGGTAACGAATACGTGTAAGTTTCCGTCGGATTTCGGATCCCACACACGGCATCCTATAAAAACCGAATGGTTAGAATCCTGTCGGAATTTTCACATAAGAACCCATAAAATCCGATCGGATTGAGGATCCTATCGGGTCCCATTCACGGTACCCATATAATCCGATCAGACATAGGATTTTCTCGGATCCAACTCACGGCACCCACGAAATCCGATCGGATATAGGATTTTGCTAGATTTCACTCACAGCAACTAACAGGGTTTTTTTGAGAGCACAACGGTGAGCTGGAAATATATTTAACCATAAGGTTACTATACTGAAATACGGTTAAAACGGTGTAATACATCATCACTAATCATAGTATCGATAGCACACTACGGCAACCTATTCATAAACATCTTTGCATGTGCAAAGAACACCGCATTTCTGTCTCTATCTTGCTTTCATTCTACAGTAGAAATAACACATTGTAAAACACAATCCTCTCTGCATAAACCCGAAATAGTACGAACCCTCAGCAAATGTGGCAAAAAAGTTTTTGAATATGCTTTCAGTTTCAGTTTCTCACCAATCGTAGTAAAACCACAGACCCGCAAAAGCTTGATTGCAGACCAACGAGGAAAGGTTTCTAAGTGTGCTGCAGCATTTTTAGATAGACCTATATCAGTTGTTTTCGACCTCAACGAGACTAGACGAATTCTAAAAGAGTTCGTGCCCATACGCTACCGTTTTGGAGTTATGCCTGTTATATTGGATATTCGGACTTTCGAAAGGTATAATTCTATGAAAAAATCAAATTATGAGATTCGGACTTGAAACTCTGTTCCTAGATAGACCTCACGATTGTCAAATATGCTGAAAATTTCAGCTGACGAGAATGTTTTTGCCTTAAGACGTCAGATATGTAAAAACTGATCATGTGTAACGAGGAAGGTTTAAAAAGCAGTCGTGTCGGATATTCGATATCTCAAGAACAAAACATTCCCTCGAGCTGAAATTTTTAGGATATTTAGAGAATCGTGAGGGCTATTTACAGAAAACACTTTACGTTCGTATCTCATAATCTGATTTTCCCATACAAAACTTCCCAAAGCCTGAATGTTCAGCATAACCGGCACAACTCAAAATATGTAGCGAATCGGTACGAACTCTTTGAGATTCCGTCTAATCTTACTGACCTCTACAAACTGACATAGCTCGCATTGAAAACAGTGCGTCACACTTAGGGATCATCCCTCGTAAGTCCATTTCCAAACCAATAGATTTAACACTAAGGTTACCTAAGTTTCCCTTCCACTAGAACACTGAACAAATATAAAGAACACAATATAAGTCCACCAACATGAGCCTACGTCGAGCACCAGAACAAAACACCATAGTCCCGCCTTACACCCTTATCGTAACCAGTGGCACATCTTACTCTCATTACCCAAAAATCATACCAACATAAAACCATTTAAATCCAAAGCCAAAGTCACACTATCATAGGCCATAATCTACAAAGCCCCCATAAAACTAATGCAATCTGACCGGCACTCAAATTTGTGACCACTTCAAATGCAGCTGAAACATTTTTCCATACATATATCCATCCGGATTGCATAACGTTCAATACAAACCGATAAATAAACAAAAACAGACATACTGAAAATAAATATAAAATACTTTTGAATCTATCTCAGTGACACTCCGATAACTTCCGAGACAAACCAATGGATTCTGAAGATGCATAAATATCCAAATCGAATATAAAATATTTTAAATATATATCAATACTCCTCCGATCACTTCCGAGAAATTGCAATGAAAGTTCGACATGACTAAACGTCCAAATCAAATATAAAATATGTTAAAATATTTATGAGCCTATTTCGGATAACTTCCGATGTATTTCGACGGAGGTGTATGATATGTCGGAAAATATACGCAGTTGTGGTCGATAAATTCCGATATAATCCGACGGAAGTTGATGTTAGCTGTAAATACGTAAATTTTTTTTACCAATAGTTTCCGATGGAATTCGATCATCTGAATATTTCGTCGGACCGACACTTGGATGTCATCAGAAATACCTGGGAATCTGACTGCCGGGATCCAAAATTGATTCGTTACCAGGAAACCGATCGGATTTCGTCGGCTGGTCGGATTCTACAAGATCCGATCGAATCCAATATCGGATTCATTCACCTGGATAAGGAAAGAATGAAAAATCATTATAACAAACTATATTTACATTCTCCCTTTCTTATTCTTGTGAATTTACTATTAGTGATAGACGACAAAAGAATATAGGAGAATAATTTTCTATTGTTCGGTCATTGTTATCTTCATGCTGGTCATCCACATCTCTTCTATACATAAGAACGAACGAAAAATAATGAAATATACAAACACATGTTCGGATGACTTCTTCTCATTCTGGTATAAATGCACACACACATACATGTTTCTTTTCTTCCTTTCTTCTTTGTTTACATTACAAGCTGATGTAAAAGTCAATTCATCGAATTTTTTTGTATCACCTTATTATTTGATTTTAAATGATCATCCCATTTCCATTATACATATCTACATTTCAGATCCTTTTTCAACAAAAATATTCGTTTGATAAAATGACATCTCCACCAATTGCTATCTATGATGTCGATATGCACAAATATGCATATTCATCGACTGGTGAGTTAGGCAGCAAAGGATTGTCACCATGCGTAGCAGTCATCATCGTGTTTTCAAATCGTACTGTAATGATCGAACATCGTTCTGAGAGTGAACTATGTGATAAAGGAGATCAATTCGACGCAACAGATTTATTTCTTGATATTGTCGATAATGTTAAAGCAATGGAAAAACAAAATTTGAATATCCAGTAAGCCAATTTTTTATTAATAAATACAGAACAGAATATTTTTTCCGTCTAATTGTTTTCTGAGATAAAGAAGAAAAGAAAAATATAAACCTTATTTGCCATTGAATTAGCAAAATATTCAAAACTAGAAATATATTGTCATTTTAATAGTAAAACTTGATAATTAAAAGAAACTGTTCCTCTTGATTTATCAAAAAGTTGTTCGAAAAGAGCATAGAAAAGAAATTTATTTTGTTATTAATTTAGTTATGTTTTCATTATCGGTGGTTGTCATAGTAAAATGCGAAAACGTTTCCAAGATTGATTGATATTAGTCCGTCAAAACTTTCTTAATGAAAACAAAGGTGACTCAAATCCATTAAATTATCCATTGTTACAATTGTATCGTGCTATGAAAGTTTTGAATGTAAGTTGGTCAATAGAAGACAAACATGAATATAACTTGAATGAACAATTTATTGATGCTCTAATTGCACATGAGAAAAGTGGTAGTTTTCATTTTTTCGTTCGACAATATGTTCATTTAGTTGACAACATTACAAAGCAGAAAACAGCAATTTGTTGCGGTTATCTTCGATACAAATTGTTTGATGATAATGATGCAAATGTACAACAAGGTAGTTTATCATTAGCTGGTGCTGAATTCTACGTTGACAACGACATTGCTGAACAACATAAACAAGGTAAAATGTCAATTTCTTGATTAGCATAGTCCTCAGTACTTCTCTCATATTTTAACGTATTCAAGATAAGTATAAATTTATTATGAACATAAAAAAGATGTTTCTTTTCTTCTAATACTTTGAATTATTTATGAATGAAGATTCTAACATATATTTTCCTTCATGACATTTTAGATCAAAAGGACTATTTGATTATACACGATTCAGTCGTGAAATTCACTGAAAATGTCCAAAGTCTAGGAGCTGTACCGATCAAAACGGATGCTATTGATTTTATTAATTCAATCAATAACATGTTCAATCGTATGGTCAAGTCGCCTCAAAAAGATGTTGTTATTAAAGATTTTGAATAACTTTATTAATTATCTTATTCTTCTCAACTTAATCAAGCATTTCTTATTCTCAAACATACATTCGTATTTTTTGCCATTTAAAAAGACATTTATTTACATTATGTGGATTTTTAGCATTCTTTAAAATAAAAATATTCATGAAAGTATCTCAAGATTACGTAATGATTTTATGTTGAAACTCGTTTGAGATGGTCTGCTCTAATGTTTACGCTAATCTATTGTTGTTTGGCTTTTAATTATACAAGTGTTTAAGCAAGGATTCGGATATGAATAAATTTCTTTCTATCATACAGACAATCAAGTTAACAGTGAAAGTTAGAAGAAAATGTTGAGTTTACACTTAAAGAATGCATGACAAAATTTTCTGAGTGAAAGCCTATATACATAATTTTACTATATCTTTATTGCTTTTTCGTTGAACATCATTCTCTGTAAAAATAATGAGCTCATTCCATGTTCAGATAGAACAGTTAAAATGGCAATTAAAGCTGATACAAAGATTATTTTACTCCAAAGTCGATGACTAAAATAGAAACAATAAAATGACAAATAAAAAAAATTATCTAATCATATTGGCATATACCGGGTGTTCCAAAAATTTTGCAACATGTTGTATTTTACATATATCTCGGCATAGGTAAATGATAGAACCTTGATTTTTTTTTAAAAGATGCGCCTTGAAAAGCTCTACAAAAACTGTATAAAGAAATCCCTATCAACTGGTTCTGACGGATTTTCCATAGTCAATATGAACAACCCACATGATAGTGCTATGTCCCAGCATAATAAAAATGATTGGAAGACTTTTTTGTTTTGCATATTTCTCGACTTGAGAAAATGATAAAATCTCGATCTTTTTTTCAAAAGATGCGCCATGAAAAGCTCTACACAAGTTGTATGAACAAATCCCTATTGACTTGTTCTGATGACTTTTCTAGATGGTTAAAAGTGAAGATCTGCGTGATGTTGCTACCGGGTGTTCTAAAATGTTTGCAACATTTTTTATTTCGCATATACCTCGACTTGGGAAAAAGATAAAACCTTGATTTTTTTTTCAAAAGATGCGCTGTGAAAAGCTCTACAAAAACTGTATAAGAAAAACCATATTAACTGGTTCTGACTGTTTTTCCATACTCAATATGAACAACTTACATGGTAATGCTGTTTCTTAGTATAATAAAAATGTCTGTAAGGCTTTTTTTATTTTGCATATATCTCGACCTCAGAAAATGATAACATCTTGATTTTTTTTTTGAAAGATGCGCTGTCGCAAGCTCTACGCCACCTGTATGAATAAATCCTTAATGCAAAACAAAAAGGTCTTCCAACCATTTTTATTATGTTCAATACGCTGGGACATTGCGCTATCATGTGGGTTGTTCATATTGGCTATGGAAAAAACCGTCAGAACCAGTTAATAGGGATTTCTTTATACAGTTTTTGTAGAGCTTTTCAAGGCGCATCTTTTAAAAAAATCAAGGTTCTATCATTTACCTATGCCGAGATATATGTAAAATACAACATGTTGCAAAATTTTTGGAACACCCGGTATAAGCGTCGAGTATTTAAACTCAATTGTGGGACTAAGAAACAAATAAAACCACAAATCCATTGTTGAATGAATAAAATCAATGTTACTAAACCATAAGGCATGAAGGATAGGTCATAGAATGTGGTCTTTTACCAAGATTTTTAGCTCGAGGAATGACAATAAATCCCACAATACCAAAAACGAATGATAGAATTAAAAAAGTTGCATCAGAAATTTTCACAACTAGTTTTGGTGAAGTTCGAAATGTTCGATATAGGAGAATAGTATTTGCCATAACAAAACACAAGATCAAGAGTCATCACCAATAGATGAAAAGTAAATGGTTCTTTTTCCTAATTATATGTAACTACAAAAATATGTTGAGGATGTGGGTGAGGGTGATGTGGGTGATGATAATGATGACATATCCACACTCACCCTTAATATGTCAAATTAATTTTTCTATCTTGAGTATGCAGATGAGAGTTTGAGACCGATTTAACCGACATCAACACTGTCACATCCTTCGAGCAACTGGAAGAAACATTGTTCCCTTTAATACTGCGGAACGAAGGACAAGGAGTTTTGTTCGTGAAATTGTTTCTTTGAAGTTTTATCTTTGCAATGAGAAAAATTCTTTTTAAAGCAAGTAGAAAATCAGTTTGTTTTCGATGTAAAACAAATAATCAATATATGTTCTCGTTAGATACAAGTTAATTTGAAGAAGTATTTTCATATGAAATTAGTCTTGTCGTCGTTGCATCATGTGAAAGAAAACTGTTTTTTCCCATTCTTCCATCAAAACATCCCCCGAGGTACATCATGTATATCGATATAAGTCAGAGGTGATGAAAGCCAAAAAAGAAAACGACCGACATATAAATAGAGGTCTTATAATAGAAAACGGCAGAAGATCATAATTTTTTCCCGTTTTATTCACAAAGATGAAGATTACATTGTGTCTGTCGCTCGTGTTTCTATTGAGTTTGATTACTTTGCACAGAATCTTAGCAATACCACTCGATGAATTTGAACAAGAATCATTTACAATATTATCTAATTCAACAGACATTACTAAGTAGGATTATTCTTAATTCGAGAGTTCCGATAAACTAGTACATGTTCTTAGTAGTGGTACTGCCGAGGAAGAAAATGCATCGAATTACATAAACAACCTTAGTGAATTACTAAATACATCAACTGATATCACAATCGCAAGTATTTTAGTTGAATTGTTTCCATAGCTGAATAATAAACAATTTTTTTTATTATACTTTTCTGTACGATCCATGCGGACGGTTAGTTTATTTTCTCAAATTCAAATAATATAACAATAAAATAGTATTTTGTGCAACACGATCTAAAAGGAGTGTTGAAGTATATAGGGTAGAAATTGATCTCCCCCCCCACAGTGTGCATTTTTCGCATGGCAGGCGAGCATGCGACTTTCTTGCTCGGAAACGGATTTATTTTGCTCAGAAGTGATTTTATATCACGCAGAAACTCATTTTTAAGAAAAAAAAACATGTTTTTCGAAAAACAATTTTCGACAAAAAGTACCTGATAGGACCCTTGCCCAAATTTTTTCGAAAAATGTTTTTTTTTAAAAACTGTTTCGTATTATATATCATTCGACTCGGTTTTATGCGCTGATTCCAAATATGTCATTTATATTGTATAAAAACCTTTCTGGACCGAAAATAATTGGAAAATACCTGAAAAACCCAAGGTTTTTGGAAAATCTTACAAGCAGCCACGACCGGTTTCGACCTTGCTTAAGGGTCTCATCAGGTGGCTTGTTCATATTCATTATAACCCGAAGGCTATAACAAAAACCGAATGTTCAACTCTTATAATGAATAAGAGAGAACCGGTCGTGGCTGCTTATTTAATTTGCAGTCATGCATCTTAATACCGGTTCTCTCTTATTCATTATAAGAGTTGAACATTCGGTTTTTGTTATAGCCTTCGGGTTATAATGAATATGAACAAGCCACCTGATAAGACCCTTAAGCAAGGTCGAAACCGGTCGTGGCTGCTTGTAAATTTATAGTTCAGAGATACAGTGTCTGATGATGTACAACAGATTGAAATGAAGTATAGATAGAAACTCTGAGTGTACAATCAGCGCGTGTCTTATTTTGTTATAATTATTATAATCCATAATAAAAGTTTTTCGAGCAACGTAAAAAGCTTAACTGTGCTTGTTGGTTCCTCACTTCTCTATAAACTTTTATTATAAATAATTATCTGAAAGTTTCAAATGATCATGTGTTTAGTTCAGACATACGATAATATGTTCATTCCTTACATATGTTCAAGTGCTCTTCCCTGTGTCGCTTTTCGAGTCAATTTATGTAGATAGTATGAAATGTGGATTTTTTTCTACAAACTTTATGTATAGATCCTTATGAGTTAATTCAATAATTGATGTTGTTATTCTTTGAGAAATTTATTAGGACAGTCATTTTTTATCATTCAAGTTCTTTTGGTTATTTGAACAGTGTATCACATTGGCATGTACAGTGCTGATCATAAGTGTGGCCCCACTTTTTTGTTTTGGGTTGTATTTCACAATAGTATGGGAGTTTTTCAAAATTTTTTTTTTATTCGATAGAGCATCTCGAGTACTACAAGTATATACCTATTTGACATGTTCACCTCTTCGATATAGAAAATGAGAAACAAAACAAAATTCGAGACTACAGCAAAAATTTCATAAAAAAAGACAAAATGATGAGAAAAATGTTTGAAAGAGTTTTTTGACTTTTTGTTTTGCAATAGGAATTTTTTTTAAACAGCTTTAATAGAGCTTTCGACGGCGCATCTTTTGAAAAAAAATTAAGGCGGTATCATTTTTTTTAGGTCGAGATACATGAAAAATAGAATAGTCTACCAAACATTTTTATTATGTTAATACGGTGGAAAGTAACACTATCATATATTTTCTTTCATTCCGAGTATAAAAGAAGCCATCAGAACAAGTTAATAGAGATTTGCTTTTAGAGTTTTTATAGAGCTTTTCACGGCGCATCTTTTAAAAAAAAATCAAGATTTTGTTATTTTCTCTGTGCAGAGATATTCTCCAAACAAACTATGTTGCAAGCATTTTCAATCACCCGGTATTTCTCAATGTTTAACATTTTGACCATAACATCATCATTTCTTAATGAAATTCAAAATATTTTTTTACCAAAATTATCAGCGAAAAAAGCTCTACAAAGTCTGTTCAAAAAGAAAAGTTTTCTGAATACTTTGAGTTTTTTATGATTGACTGTCTGTGGAAGTATCCTGTAACAACAATATCATTTTGTCTTTTTTTGTGCAATTTTTTTCTTAGTACTGAAGCTGATTTTTTTCCCTGTATTTTATATTCGAAAGCTTTTTGTATTAAACATATATATATTGATAGCGCTTCATCTCTACTATCCAGACATATCGACAAAAAAAATTAATGTTGTGTACTTTC